ATTGGAAAATAATCTCTTATTCGAATATAGTTATGTAAAGAACTCTGCCATGAAAATATAATTAGATTAGAAGAAGTCTTGCTCGAAGATAAGTCAATATATATGGTATTTGATTATGCTGAACACGACTTTCTTGTAGGTTTTCACTTGTCTCTTTTATTCTTTCGCCTATTGCCATTCCTTGTTGTTCACCTTCCATCCTCATTCATTTTTTTAGCAAATAATCCACCATCATAGTCAAAGTGAACGTAAACCTATACCGGAATTCACCATAAAATCTTTCTTGTGGCAGTTGCTTAATGGAGTAGCATATTTGCATGCTAACTGGGTCATGCATAGAGATCTTAAGCCCGCCAACATATTGGTTACAGCCGACGGTGTGGTCAAAATAGGAGATCTGGGACTAGCGAGATTGTTTCATCATCCTCTAGTACCTTTGTTTAATGGTGATAAGGTTGTGGTTACAATTTGGTACAGAGCACCTGAGCTCTTGCTCGGGTCAAAGCATTATACGACTACTATCGGTAATTTTGATGTTAAGCTGTTTCATTTAAGATATCTGTTACCCGCTTTTGTCTTATCATATCACGAATCATAGATATCTGGGCAGTCGGATGTATATTTGCCGAACTTCTAGCATTGAAGCCCATATTTAAAGGAGAAGAAGCCAAGATGGACAGCAAAAAGAATGTCCCATTTCAAAGAAGTCAGCTGACAAAGATATTTGAAGTTCTCGGAACTCCCACAAGTATGTTACTTCATTTAATATTGGCTTGCTGTGGTTATGTGTACTTGTATCTGAATAGTATTAACGTCAATTGCAGAAGAGCGATGGCCTACAATAGATCACCAACCAGAATATAATAATCTTAGCTCGTTCCGACCGTAAGTTCTTCACGATGTCTGTAAACGCATGAGCAATTCAAATATCAAATAATTGATAATGTACGCTTTCGACATCTTAGATATAGCAATACTCTTCGTGAATATTATGACCGCTTACCATCAGTAAAATCAGAAACAGGCTACAATTTGCTGACGGCTATGCTAGAATATGATCCCATAAAACGGATTTCGGCTCTTGATGCTTTAAGCCATCCATTTTTCGAAGAAGAGCCCGAGCCCTCTTTTGGGTACGTCTCCCGCAACTGCCATTTTGAGTTTGTATCGATTGCGTATATTCATATCGATTTTAAACACTTCTACCCTAGGTCTTTTGAAGGACAAGAATTCAAGTATCCTCGGCGAACAGTAAAGCCGGAGGACAATGACATAAAGGGCGGAATACCTGCTATATCTTCAGGAGCTTCTCAAGCGGGCGCAGCTGGGTTAAAAGTTAGTGCGAATAAGAAAGAAGACGGCAGAAATTCAAAGCGAATCAAGGTGGAACAATGATCATCGACGGGAATGTCTAATTTATGTCGTTATCGATAAACTTTTTTATTCATCCAGTTGCACATAGACATGTGCATCTGCTTTGCGTTTGGGAAAGAGTGCCTAAAAATATGGAATACATCCGCATGAGTATTAAAAACAAAAGAAACGATAACCTTACCAACGAGCATACCTCTACCAGAATCAATGGACTATCTTCAGCCTTTTGTACAAACAGTCGCATTATCTGTGTTATAAGTGGCTTGAGTGCCTGAACTTGTTTAAGTGGTTCAGACATTATTCGTTCAAAGAGCTCAAACGTCGAGGGCTTTAATAGAGACAATCTGTAAGAGGAATGTTTCTATTTAAAAACATTAAGTTGGGAATGAAAAATCCTTACTCTAAAAAACAGTCCGCCTTGGTGGCATTTATTGATTATGCAATCTATCATTGATGCAGCATGCGAAATCTCCTGTGCATCTAACTCGTGATAGTGTTCAAGGTATTTGAGATAGCTCTTTACAACCGCCTCATTGGCAAACATCTCCAAAAGATTTGTTATGTTAGTGACCTAGAGTAACCTGATAATATAACACATATCTGATAATTCATACCACTTGGAATTGAAGCAATTCGAAGGGCATATGTGCATATGACGGTTCACATAACGAAGAATCGTCTCGCTCTTCCTCTTGTTCTTCATCAACATGTTCATTCTCATCATCGTTTTCGGTAGCCCTCTGCTTTCCTGTATCGGCGTAATCAGTTAATAGCTCTGAATAAAATGATAACGTATTATTTCTTTACCTTTGTTCTTTCTCTTTTTCCTACGCATCTTTTGTTTTGTATACAGGCGTCTTCCTGTTTCGGTAAATTCTTCAAGTACGTTGACGAGTAAGTGAATGACTTCAACAAGAAGCTTCAAAAATCTAACAACATAATACTTCAGTTAATATATACCTGCCGGAATTGCCTGTGCAAGCACGGTATACAAAGAAAATAATTACCCGAACGATTGCTCTTTATAATTTTTTATGAGATCAACAATCAAATCTAAATTTGCTTGTTCGTCGCTTAGAAAAGCTATTCTTTGCCTCGCAATCACGGGATAAACCTCGAAGCTGGATTTTGACATTGACCTCAAGGATAGCAACTTTAGGGAAGATTTCGTCAATGTACTTCAATTATTTCGCTTAGATATGTCAAATGTCTTGATTCATCTTAAAGCATACCATTTGTTTCAAATAATGCAGGCCTATATGCACTTCAACCCATTTCTACAAGACATTCAGTTAATATAGAACTATGCTAATAAATTCACTTCAGTAAACCAATAGCTAACCTTGTCAAGATGAACTTCCCTAAGCTTTCTTAACATGAGCTGGAGTCCGTCTTGGTTAAGAATAAAAGCAACGTGACCAATATCCCACTTTGGTTTCCCAGCGTGCGGACCATCCTCAAACATTGAACTGTCATTTTCCAACATAAAACGTTGAAATCCAAGAAAAAAACCTGAGACGTACATTGCATAAAAAACGTGTACGTTTTTCATATAAGGTCTTTCATATTCAATGTCACGCTTAATGTCCACAATAAATTCTAAAGTTGAAAATTCGAAAACTTTGTAAATGTCGACAGTCCAACGATCCTCAGTCATTTTGAAAGGTATTAGATAGCTTACGATGAAAAGCCATATTCAAGATTGCTTCGCCAAATTTACGTAAGGCCCGTTTTGCTGCCGGACTGAGATCAAGCATTTTCCTCTGATCCAAATCGTCCAGGAATCCACGTCGCTCCCATCTCTTTTTCTTACGATAATCCAAAATCTTTATGGATGGGTTATTCAAAGCTTTTCTCGTAAACGCAGGATACGTTCTTCCGTCCTGATAAGAAAAAGTCCAATGAGAAAATTATATTTAACTTGACCGGGACATTATACATTATAGCTGATGAATTAATTCACCCACGTTTGTTTTCAGGAGAAATTGCACGGGCCATTGTTTCGTAGATTTCAATTTGTTAGGAATAGACATTTCTTCATTCAAAGAGTTCCCGATAATAGTACGACCTGTAGACTGTAGTCACTCGTATAATTAGTTCATCTGATACGTATTATGGCTTAAGAACTGTCACTAAAATATTTGACCTCTTCGATAAGCTCCTCAGGTTCAACGACCGAATAAATGTAGTAAAGTATTTCAAGTATAGTTGTTTTTAACAATCCATTGATATCCGAGGATGCTGCCATGGCAGATATTAATAATAACACGTTGTGTTCGTAGTATGAATGAATGAGCTCACTCTATTTAAAACTTACAATAGTCAGTCAATCGAGTAACATGCTGTACACGTAAACGCAGTGGTAAAAAATACCTGTACTCTGCTAGCCGTTATAATATCTTCATTATCCTTAATAGCAAGTAAATTACGAAATAAAAGCATGCCATGCCTTACAATACGTTCCTCTTCGACAGATCTCGTATCTCTGCACGATAATAGGCACAGTGAACAAACATGTGACGTATCAATTATTGCCACAAATATTTAACTTAACACAAACCCTCTGAGTAATATGTCAATCACTTCCTCCAGAGCATTAATAAAGTCTTTATTATTGGCAAAGATATTTTTGTATCTTATCATAGCTTTCTGCAACCTTAACAGTACGCTAAAAATCTTTCGACGTTTAGACTCATCCGTCAAATTCTCGCAATCTTTCCGACGATCCGTCAACCATACTGTATCGGTCATTCGATCAAACAAACCAACTGCCACAAAATTCAATCCATCAGTATAAGTTCCTTTAAGTCTGTATCCATATCGTAACTATGGTCTTACCACATGCCAGAACCATCCGTATCTCGTTTTCGCTCACAATATTTCTGACTTTTAAAAATATTGGTATCAGGTCTGTCTCCAGTATTCCAGATAATGATAAATAACAGAGAACTTCGCGTGAAGTGTCAGCATCTTCATCGTATGCCATTTGACAGATAAACTTTAACGCGTCTATCAAAAACGTCAATTATCAGAATGTAATTTGATGCACCCAATTTACAAGCCAGAGCCTACTTACACCAACATCTTTCACTCATTTCATAGCCAGTTTTGATCTGTTCTCCAGCTAATTCAACGGGACGTACATTCCCTAGATTAAGACGCTCTAATATAATTCCGCATTACGAATTTGTATTATTAAGACCTATTCCTCTGTAAATTCAACAAGTCTGTATCAAAGGTCTATAAACTTTATTTACACCTTGCTCAAGCCGTATCATCAATGGAGACGTTTCAAATGTAAACTCCTCGTCAGCCATCTTTGGTTTTGCAAAGTTTTAGAAAATGATTCAAAATTTCGTTACTGGTACGCGTGTAGAATGTAGCCATGATACATCTTTTCCCTTATTGGGCGTAATAAGTCACATGAAATACGCCACAGAATCTCAGTTACGTCATCTTGGGCGATCCTAGCCCAGGGTCCACACACACTCAGGATTACAGAACTTGCAAGTTGCAAGCTGTTAAAAGAATAATACATACACCACTTCGATAATAAACATTCACCCATATTAATATAAAAGGGCGAAAGCCCTCACATTCGTCTTATTCTTAAATACTATGACACTATGGACAAAGAGGCGTCAAGCGAATCGAAGGGGAAAGAGTTTAAGAACTTTGATGGAAGCTCAAAGGTAAAAGTCGTTGCAAGAGAACAGTCGCCCCTTGGATGATTTAGAGTCTTCAAGTCGCGCTTAACGTGAGCTGACTCTTTGATTGCGGAAGAGGAGGTTCCCGTGCTTTTATAATACATAGTGCCATCGAGTAGTTGCTGCGGAGTGGGGGGTCTCTAAACATGTTGGTATATTTTTGGGACCTAAAACATCACGTGACCAAGGCAATAGTGCAGTCAGTGGGGATGTAACCGAATACTTACGATGAATATGAATCTAATAAGTTCAATATACAGAAGTTGCGGGAAACAGTGTCTGAAACCAAAAAGAAAGAGATAAAGTCAGTATACTGTCTCTCTTTGTCTTCGCATATCTATTCGCAATCAATAAAATTTCTTAAACTGTGTTTGCTTATGTGGTATGTCTATGTGACAGAGGGATCATTGCACGCCATGAGGAGTTGTCTAAAGAATTATTCTATACAATAGAAAGTGAGAAAAATGATGATCCTGATTGGAATCAAATAGATAAAAAATTACACTCGTATCTACAGGCACGAAGGCTCCAATATGAAAGGTACCTGCTATGAACTATTTAAAATTCGGGTAACTGGCATCGATCTTTTGGAATCGTACTCCTAGTCAGTTTAGAGATTTTGCCACTTGCGATGAGATACTTACAGTCCTTTTCAGCGCAGAGAGCGCGACCCAAAAAGAAGTTTATAAACCATACGAACTAAGAATTAGCACTTCTCTCACATCGAGTGGGACAAATACGAGCTCAACTCGTCCAGAAGCCGGCCCGAGTTCCGCATCGACTGAACCTTCAACTCCAACAGAACCATCACCTACCACGAAAAGACCAAAACGCATACCACCACCTCCCATCGAGCGAATGGTGACGCGAGCTGCGAGTGGTGCTATTGCGCCTAAAAGCGTTGACGAGATATTGAAGGAAGCTGAGGTATGTGTCTTCCCAATTTTCAGAAGTTTCTCAAAATATTACTTGCGGGGAAGGGAAAAACCAAAACCAGCCAACATTTGATAATGAAGTTCTCGGTAATAACTAAACTTTGCTTCTTTAGCGAAATGCTCACCCATATTCCCCAATATCTGCTTCTGCAACTTCACCACAAAGCGCAAAGTTTCCTATAAAGATATCAGTAAATACGCATCCGAGAAAAGACAGTAAACGCATAACGTCTGGACGATCCCCAGACTCTGCTAGAACACCCACAGCACATTCATTACCTCGTCAAGCTGAACAACCGTTTTCAAGACCATTCGATCGCGAGGCGATTCTTGCACATTATCAAGAGGCGCCACTTCATTCTGTTTTACAAGAGTTTAACAAAGTCATATTCACTTCTGATTGGCAGGTATGTTTATGAAATTTCAATTCTTATGAGTGGACGTGGTAACTATAGAAGAATAGATATATACGGTTACAGACATTAATAATAGTACATTGACTTATCCGTTTCATGTGAGACTTGGTTGATTAGTTGCTTAAAAGATTACTTAATATTATAAGGGTTAATGTTGCAATGTAAGTAAACAGAAATTATTACTGAATTATAATATATCTTAATAACAGCTTGCTCAGGAAGAGGTTAGAACGGTGAAAGTTTTGAAAGAAATTGAAGATCGAAAAGTAAATCAGGCCCTGAGCACAAGACAGAGAGAGAGGTTCAAAGATCCAACTCGTCTACCTATTTTATGGGATGTTTTACTCTACCAGATGGTATGCACCATGGCTTGGTTATGATATTTCTTAGTGCTATGCTTCATTTCCTCAACAGCATTTGTTTTTTCGTAGAATTTGATGGCTATCGATTTTTATGAGGAGAGGAAGCTAAAGAAATTATGGGCGTACCAATTGGCTCATGCTTGTGCTGAATGGCATACTTGCAGTGAGGAAAAGAAGCGCACTCTCTGTGTAAGTACAACATCTAATTCATCCAGTGAAAACCAATAGGATAAATTGTTACACGTTTATTCTCATGATAAGCTATTTACTGAATATCTGTCAATTGCAGGTTCGGCGTTTAAATTCTCAGAAAGCCGCTAGCATACAACCAGACATAACTATCAAACAAGAAGAGGACTCATGTCTAATTGAAGGCAATCAAACATATGGGATTAAACAGAACATTGGAACAACGGGTGTTATGCGCGATGAAGTCATGGTCGACGTCTGTTCAGTAGAAGAAGACCAAGAATCTTCAATCCTCAGCAAAAAGTTTATAAATGCGACAGATAGCGCAACACCCCGTCCATTATCTCCAAATGACTGTGAACGATTACGTGAAAAGATAAGTGCAATGAGCTTCAACCAAAGTATATTTCCGCTGCCTGAAGGTGTTGAAAGTGCCGAGGAATTGTTTCCAGAGTTGCCAGTATTTGGTGCGTCCGGATTACCGAACGGATATTATATGGACCCTTGTGATTATGGACCGCTTGTTCCTTTGTCTCCCGTTATTTACCGCCGACGTAAGAAACTGAAAAAAGGTATATCGTCTGTGCGTTGGTAATAGAAACCAAGAAGCCTTTTAATAAAGAATCTGGGATAAGACATTCAGGCGATTTCTGCTAACGATATCCTGCTTGCTAAAAATTCAGATACGAAATTCGAACGCCACGATTTAGAAAGTTCAAAACGGGTCAAAAAGGCCAAATCCGAAGGAGAGGAGAACTTGACTACATCTTGTATGTATTTTATGACGTTAAATAAGGCTATTATTGAAGATTATATTGTTTATATGTCATACCACTTCGTTTCTAGTGTTTGCATCATCTGCGCCTGCCGAGACGCGAAGGAAAATTCGTAAACCTCCAATGACGGCAATAAAGACAAATAACAAGTGGTCAGCAGAAGACGATGAGATATTACTATCTCTCATTTCGTCTGGTAATTGGTCTTACATAGCAGAAACGATAAACACCATGAGAGCAACAGTGTCTGGCTTCAGGCGCACACCATATGAGTGCTACGATCGCTGGAAATCGATTGATGACATAAGCAAATACATAATTCAAGATAACGATGCATCAAGTTCTGAAAGCGAAGAGATATCCTCAGTTCTTGGTACATCTGGTGCGGGCACATCAGCGGGCACAGCCTCATCAAGTCTCACATCCGGCAACAAAATAAGAAAAGAACTGCAAAGGAAAGATTCGAAAAATAAAATACCGAAATTTGATCCTGCGAAGAGCCGACGTCAGGCTAACCTGGCAGAAGCTATTAAAAAGTCAGCAAAGAAGAGAGAGGAGGCCGTCAGAAGACCACGTAAGTAACACCAGAGGTCATGCTTTATACCAACGTTTTGTTATTAAGGTTTTGTGGACTTACACAAATTATTGTTGTTTTCAACGTAAGACACAGCGCAATCTAAGAAAACTGCAGAAACCGCTGCTTCCTCAACGAGAACACCGACACCTTTGGAATTAAGTCGACTTAAATTGGACCAAGATCGCGTACAACAGCAGGTCATACAAGAGCAGAGGCAGGCTGCTGCTTTAGCTATGCAAGGACGGGTAAGTACAGAATACTTGGGAAACTCAAACTTATATAAACTCGTTCTAATACATATGAATTTAGCAAGCGTCCGCCATACCTCGCCCTTCACTGCAAGGAGTTTCTCATATACAGGGTCAACTTAACCAATCGGTCACCCGCCCGTCTGTAACTACTAACGCAGTCACATCAGCTAATCAACATCAACTTCACGCTCTCATGATGCAACAACGACATGCAGTACTGAACCAGCGAACTCCTCAACAGCAATATTCACAAATGACTCCGACAATAACTCAGGTTACTCAAGCTCATCCGACGCAATTAATGACAGTACAAAACCCCCAATTTTACCCATTTTACAATCGCGTTCAAGCTCGTGCCACTCAAATGCTACAAGGCGCTCAAGTGTCGGTCACGCAGCAACAGCAGCAGCAGCAGCAACAGCAGCAACAACAACAACAGCAACAACAGCAACAATAGCAACAATAGCAGCAGCAGCTTTAAAATTCTTGTCGTGGAGATACAGTGAACCCTCTTTTGATATGTGCGGGGATGGTGGTAGGGTTAGGGTTTTAAATAAATGTCATCATATGTAAATGATATTAGTGTACGATATTCATCATTTCGAATTAAGTCAGGCAATTAATAATAGTCAGAATCACTTAAATTTTATTCATATAAAACCATTTGCCAAAATAAACCAAACCAATTGGTGAGCATAGTTCACGTATAATATTCTCTCTAACATCCAAATCTAATAATCATATTTTGTTAATGGCACTTAAGAAGAGCAAATGCCTTTCAGTTCGTTTACGTAGAGTGTCGTTTTATTAACTCATGTTTTGGATGCGCAAGTCGGGCTAAGTAATAGAACGAACGGCATTGTTCATTCGATCACATACCTATAATCGAATACATAATGAAATTGTATCATTTATATAATATGAATAAGGTGCCGCAAGGCCGTGATTACAGTTGCCGGACAGGCGGTTGCCCTTCCATGGTTACAGTCAAAGCTGGTTATAACGAATTCTACGGGACCAGAAAAATATTCTTTACTAACCAAAAATTCCTTATAACGAAGGTCACCTTTTACAGCTAAGATTACAACTTTTATAATTGGCTTGGAGAAAATCTTCGCTATAAACAGATCTTCATTATAACCAGAGTTCGTTATAGCCAGCTTTGACTGTAACCAGAGTTCGTTATAGCCAGCTTTGACTGTATTATAATTACTGAATTTCGATCACATGAATTTCTCTGTCCGGCACATGATCTCGACCAATGATTGTGACTGATGATGACGACGTGTCAACCTCCCCTCGTTTTAAACGCCAAACGTTTATTTACAACACAAACGCCGCCGAAAATCTGTTATCCGTTCTCGCACATTTGAAAACGCACAATTATATCCGGAGAGCGAAGTTTATATGCCACAAGTATACATAATAGAGATAAACCCAAACTCGACCGCCAATATTCGAAAAGTTTTCGAACATATTGAAGAATTATCTGGCATTAAAGATGGTAGCCGCAAATGGGTTGTAGTAACCTGTGATGGAGTACCCTATCATCGTGCACAAACAATCAAGAAAGACTTTCCCTGGCTTATATTAATTCCGGGTGCTCTTCATGAAGAAATGAATATGCTTAAGGCATTCGTTGAATTGAATTGGGATATCGATATAAGATATTTCGCTCAATGTCAGGGTTATCGAACTAAGAGTCAGCTACAGTTTTTTAAAAATGTTGACCATCATAAATCATGGGATTCAATATGCAATATATATAGGCATGCAATGGCTTCTGAATTAATGTGGCCATATTAATATGTTGGTGCTGAGGAAAATCTTTCCGTCGAGGGCTGCTACTTGAACCAAACTGATCCCATGTTCAGGTTAAAGTATGAACAAGTCTTTTTTTATACACGATCTCGACTGAGTATAGTGAATATTCTAGGCGACATCCGAACGTAAAGCATAGCGATATGACAAATTCTTTTAATGAGAAGTTTAATCTTACGATTAATCGTTCGACTGTTAGCAAACCAAACAATGTAGGCATAGATGTTAGTGACTTGCAAGTATATGAATTTTTTATCTATGTTTCAAGATTGTCAAATTTTTGCGACGTTATCACATAAATTGTGTACTTTATTGTAATTGATGCAAGAGATTATTCTAATATTAAAATTGGCGGATGCGCAAAAAAATCTCATGTCTTTCAATATATCTTTTCCTTCGGTCGAAGAAGTTCGCAAATGGAGTCCGAAACATGTCATTACTTTTCTGGAGGCGAAAAAGGAAGAACTATTTCTTGACGATGAAGACATCTCATCTATTATCAGAACAAACAAAGTCGCTGGTCGACCAGCGGAAACGATTGTAGATATAATCAGAGAAATTAAAGGCGAACCAGAAGGTAAAAACCACGACCGCGTTCACTTGTAACCAACCTATACTACATAGTGATTGTTGGGAAGACGTTATTATAGTAGAATTAGAGTTGACTTTTTATTCATAGCGTCTATAATCGTGAATTATGGTGTCTGAAAAGTTTTGACATAGGGTAATGTGTACATAGTAGACTTAATAATATGCTTCTTCGTTTATGAAGCATTTTAATTTGAGTTGTACTCATGTTTGTTATCGGGACGTTTCAAGCTCTCTCTAGATCCGAACAAGATATATTTTTAATGGCTCAACTGAAAGCAATGAATGGTGGAGAAATAACTTCAGTCGACGTCTTAAAAAGAAAACGCGTACTAATAAAAAAACTTTTTATTATTGAGATCGAAATACGCCTCTTTGTCAGAAAACGTATCTTAATATGTTGAGGAATTGGTCGCACGCACTTCGAAAGCGTTAGAAATAACTTGGCGACGAATGGTATAATGCCGCGCGTTCATGGTAATGTAAAAAGAGTGCCGCGATGGAAAACCAAAATAACCATTGATATAACCATTGCTACCGCCGTCAAGAATTTTCTCGAGAATTATGCTGAAATACATGGATTACCAAGTCCTGGCAGAAATGTCAATCGCATTACTCAATCGCTTACACTTTTGCCAGCGGAAACGAGTCATAAATCTGTCTATCGTAATTTTATTGCAGGCCTCGAAAGCGATAGCACGTTGAAATTGTTAAAGTATGATGCGTTTGCAAGTTATGGCACCAATTAATGCCTTATATTCAAATTATGAGTCCCACAAACGGATTTATGCCAACATTTTCGGAACGGCTTACAGTATAATGCTCGCAAGGAGGAGAAAGCCAGAGATTTGTTGAAAAATACAAAGAACATCTAGTAAGAGAGAAATTATTACAACAACAGAGAAAATTGGTAAACGAACGTTTTATAATAAGAGATAAAGCTGATTATTGTAGTGTTGACGCGACTGCGCATTACAGTTACGATTGGGCACAAAACGTTCACAAGTAAGTAAGATTTATTATCTCAGTCCGCGTAAAGTACATTTATTTGGTATTCAAGATGAAGCGGTACGCGAACAATTTAATTACGTTCTCGATGAAGATGAAATTATTGGCAAAGGTCCTAATGGTACGCTGAGCATGGTATTCGATGGAATTAAACGATTTAAAGATCACTTGCGACAATACAGGAGGACAGAATAAAAATAATGTTACCATTTGATTTTACCTGTATTTAGTAGTTATTATGAAAGTATCGAATTAAATGCATGGTGCCTGGCCATACTAAATTCAAGTGTGATGGTAGTTTTGAACTGATTAAGAAACTTTACCTAAAGATGACAGTTGATTATGTAGACCATATCGTTAAGATCGTGAAAAAATTGAGTATAGCAGGATTAAACAAGATCTCAACGCTATGATAATGGAAAAGGTTTTCAGTACTTAGATCTTAATTCCGTGTTGGAAAATTTTTTTAAGAACAATTGAGTGGTTTACAAAATATCAGCATTTTGTATTCAAAGCAGCCAAACCTGGTATTGTCAAAACTAAGCTGATGACTAATGGTGCTTTTACTGAATTTAATCTGTTAAAACTAGAAAGCAAATGTAGCTGAAATTACCAAAGAAATTAAATTCTTTTCCATCTTAGTACTAACCCCTCCTCCTTTGGATTACAAAAGGCAAGAATATCTTTATCATAATATTCGCCCATTCGTTAGAGATAAATTCAATAAACTTAATGGCAATTAATATTAATGAGCACTGAAATGATGGAGAAAATTTTAGTCTAATATTTTATTCATTGCCAGTATAAATTGGGGTTGTGGACAGTATAAAGTAATATCTGATCAAGTTGATTGTCATTGGTCTATCTTGTCTATATATTACCTAATGTTCTCCAATTATTAATATTAACACTAATACTTTATGAACCAATTAGTATTAGTATTAAAAACTCTAGAGGCAAGCAAACAGATCACTTTCAATACTCATTTTCAATGTTTAGACAATAATTATTTCAATATTCCGGGTGCATTTTATTATGATTACTCAGTCAAGCCAAATTTCATTTTTACATAGTTTACAATTGTTGGCACTTCAGCCATAGCTCCAACTCCAATGTCCCCACAAGCTAATTTTTTGCTCACTGGGGGAATCACTTCCATGTGCAATTCATCAACAAGGACTTTCAAATGTTTTTCCGTGAACGGATGCTCCCACATATTGGTATTCATTGCCGGGGATACAATAACTTGTTTTGATTGTGGCCATGCGCGAAGAATGCAGGTCTGGCAAATATTCAAAGTTAATTAAATAAAGATGAGTAATCCCAAACAAGGAATTTGTCGACCTACTATCAAGTTGTCACATAATCCGTTCGCCATTTTGGCCAGTGTGTTTGCATCCAAAGGACAGATAATGAAGACATCTGCCCAATTCCTTAACTAAATTTAGGGAAAAATTATCAAATTGCTCTTATTCATTATTGTAGCGCTTTAACTTATGTCTACCTCAATGTGCAACACAGGATCAGACATAACAGTCCATGAATTCCATTCGTCTTCGTCAGTAAGCACTGTAACCCCGGTGTCTTTTTTCAATTGTTCTTTGTCAAAAAAATGCAAAGCGTGCTTCGTGCTGACAACTTTCACGATCGCATTCTTACACTGTCAAAATTCAATACAACTATCAAGACTTAATACTAGCATTATTAGCTTTGCAATGTTGATAAATATTTAATAAATATTCATAATCTTTACTTTACTTAATTCGCTCACAATCAGTGGAATCTTGACGCTTGCTACACTTCCAGTGGCTCCAACGAGAACCTTAACCATTGTTTGTGATTACCACGGTCCTATCCAGATGTCTGATTTTAAGTTTACATGTTGTAATAATGACATCACAAGAGATTACGTATACACTACACTAACTGAGATAGCGCACAATGGTTGAACCAACACACGCTCCGCAGTTGAGATACTATTGGCTGCCTAACCGAAATATTTGATCGAACTAACTCCTGCATTGACCAGGAGTGCTTCTTCTCTTTGATCAATACACTCAAAAAAAAAAAGGAAATCAACATGGCCAGACAGGAAAGAACCTTTATTATGGTCAAGGTATGGATGAATATCTTTTACACTAGATAGTAACATGGATGATGTATTGAGAGAGGTGCAGGCGGCAAAGATATCGTCTTTAAAAATTTTTGAGGAAAAGAAATTTTCCCGCGAAATACCTTTGCGTGAAGCATCTTACGCTTTATATAACGTGCAGAATCCATTAGCATCTCTACATCTTTGATATCATTATTTATTCATTGATAGCCCGACGGGGTTGCTCGTAGCCTGACCGGTGAAGTCATCAAGCGTTTCGAGAATAAGGGTTATAAGCTTGTTGCCATCAAAATGTTGAATGTAACTATTCAGATACCTCAATATGATAAGTAAGCCGAAATGTACGTACATCTTACTAATTGCTTTATGTTATAGGCACAAAGAAGTGTTTTAGAGAAACACTACGCTCACTTGGCAGATCTTCCTAATAAGAACATTTTCCCAGAAGTCGTTAATCGTAAGTGTATTCCCACAATTCACATTAACCTCAACATTATCGCTGTGTATTTCAATATAGTCGTGCATTTGTAGATATGACCTCTGGCCCAGTCGTTGCAATGGTCTGGGAAGGGAGAGGCGTTGTTGAAGGTGGTCGCCAAATTCTCGGTGCCACTCGTCCATGGCAGGCAGCTCCCGGAACTATCCGTGCTGATTTCGCTACTGATGGTAAGATTCGCAAGAAAATATACGTTACCGTACACGCGCCATCCTCAATAAATGCCAACTAATGTATTTTCTTGTTGTTTTTACTTTATAGTCGGTCGTAATATTTGTCACGGGTGAGTAGAAGCAATTTAACTTTTAACATGATTCACAGATAACTTTTAAGAGAATATTAATGTCCTTGTTTCCCTAACAGATCCGATACCGTAGAGAATGCGAACAAGGAGATAGAACTATGGTTTAACAATCAAATTGTCGAATGGAACAGAGGCAAAGTCGAAGATGCCATCTATGAATAGGGTACAGCATAGACACAGAATTCGATACTATTTGAAAGATAAATGTAATCAAGACCTCGTTTTAAGACAATGTGAAATGTTGACGTGATTTCTTCACCCTCTATTCGCTGAAGAAACGCAAGACTCCTAAATAATAAAAAGGTACTACTCACCTGTTTATATGCTTAAATTGTTTCCAAGTCAGCAGCGTACTAAATAAGTTGCTTACGTTAACAAGCTTATAATAAAGTTTAAACTTGCGCACACTCCATTGCAGCATTGACCCGAATCACAGCAGGTTTTCCTTTTTTAACAACATTAGTATTTGATATGCTCTATGTGTATCAGTAAACTCTGTCTCGCTTAACCCAACACTGGCATACGAGTCTCCTTGAGGTTTCCATTTCTCTATGACTGCCTTGGAAGGCGTTATCAAAGAGATAAACTCGTTAAGGAGAGATTCAGATGCATATGGGTGAACTGTTGCAAGGTACTCAGTCTACAATCGGCAAAGCAATAAATGGGATTGGAATAGATCGTGGTTTTTGATGAAAAATTGTAAATATACAGTCGCCATATACGACCTAACAGAACGTCTTAAAAATTGATAATACCGGAACTCTACCTCGATAAAGATTCCGTTGTAGTTTTCATTGTGTTTTAAGTTTGCTATTCGTACTATGAAGTCGCCGATTTTATAAACGTATCCCGACTTTCAAAAAAAAAAAAAAAAAGCAAACCAGCTTTCATTCAGCATAATTAACAAAGCATTTCATTTCTTTGATTTGAATGGCGCGTACATCTTCTTACAAACCTCTGCATCAACAGTCTTTCTCAAAGACCATATATTCCTCAGTTTTGCAAGTATGGCTTCCATATCGCCTTGAGCCTCGACGATCACATTATCCACTAGACAATATTGAGTCTCATTGAAGTTTGGTGACATTGTAATACTATACATATTCTTTTTTTGGGCTACGTTGGGTAGCTCTTCAAGATAGAGTTTACAACGCATTTGCCATTGGCCAACATATACTCCTGGAAGCTTTTGGGTTAGAAGGTGATGAAGTTCTCTCATTGCTGGTGTGCCACTACCGTCCCTCCAGCGAAGAACACTGAGAAAAAGAACATACAGCAGAGGACATGTCGTGAAGCATATGTGAGAAGAACAAGAGGGATAGAACGGGAAAATGAGCAAATCGAACGGAAGGGTGAAGTAAAAGAAAATAGTTATAACAATGAATTTAAGCTGGATCAGGGATTTTCATGTATACAATTGCTATATATTAATTGAACTTGTCAATAATAGTATTAGCATTTTATACCTGGTAACTCCCATTGCATAAGATGTCGGCAACGGAGAAGGAAAATTCTCGAGTTACCGGCGATCAACGCGACATTTACCATTTCAGCAAGTGTTAGAGTTCCTCTCGGTCACATGATTTTATAATTACCTGGTTTAATACATTACAATTAATTACAATTAGAGCAGTGTCGGCGAAAATTCTGAAAGAATCTTTCCTTCCCAAGTCGGTTAAATATAGCGTTCAACTCGTCATGCGGACATGGACGAACAGTTGATGATAACATAGTATTAGTACTAAAGTCTATTTACGATCGTTCCTTTGCTGAATTTTATAGCAATCTAATCTGAATACGCTACAATTATTCGATAATAAAGAAGCCTATTATTTACTACCTAAAGATGAAAATTAAAAATGTCAAATCAACATCAAACATCGGGCAACATGGTATGAGATAGCCAACCTGGCATAGTAAATTTTACTATGACTATTACAAGGCGATTACTAAAAAAATCTTGCTTTACTAGATAAACTTTGTATTTCTGATGAAAAACACCAATTTCCGATGAATACTAAGGCCTAAAGAGTATTTTTGTAATTGCACCTTTCTATCAGAGATATTACCCCGTGTAGAGATGCTTTATAAACACATCTTTATAAGTATATCAATCCGAAACCATTCTATACTAATATTGGGCTTATAGCTCCGATGACGTACCCATTTGGAGTCATACCATCAATGCTTTGAAAAGGGTTCGTTTCTCTATATTTAGGCAAAGCTCGCGGTTATGGCTAAACGAAAAGGATTAATCATTCGAGAGGTAGGTAAAGATTGTAAAATCAATAATTAATGCTGTTAGAAAAACAATAGTACTTCTAAATGGAGTTATCGGCTTTTGCCAGTCATGATAATGATACTGACTAACTCTATTCGCATTGAAAATCCTTCCACAAGACAAAACGCTGAATTATTTAAGTCTCTGAATTATTACCGTTACGTCCTTACCTATTACGAAATCTATTTCTTGTTTGGGATACATGTTCATTCTTTGACATTATTGTCTTTCCGCATAGTTTTTGATGATTACACAGTGAAACTCGATAAGTCGGACACGGGCAAGGGCTGTCCGATTTATCAAGGAATCCGACTTATCGAATGATTTTAATATGAAAAAAAAAAAAAAGAAAAGTGCAGAGGGACTTATCGAGTTTCCGACTTATCGAATGATTTTAATATGAAAAAAAAAAAGAAAAGTGCAGAGGGACTTATCGAGTTTCCGACTTATCGAATGATTTTAATATGAAAAAAAAAAAAAGAAAAGTGCAGAGGGACTTATCGAGTTTCCGACTTATCGAGTGTCCGATTTATAAAGTTTCACTGTGTATGACGAAAATTTAGCTCGAATCTCCATACTTATATGGCGTTATGTTCGTTCCCCCCATTTTATATACCGATTACTCAAATTTGACCCCCCAGAAAATAAGACAATTCTGTCATTATCCCCCGTACCTCTGCAAAATATCGTTATTATTGTCATCTTTAACCGATTCTTCCTGAAATTAGACTCGTGTTACTGGTCGAAAAAACTCTCGTCTTCTCGTTGGATTACAATTCACTATCATTTGATTGGCCGATGATTATTTTCCATACCATCGACATGTAGTCAAAGAAGTCTCACGTTCCTAATACAGATTGACAAACACTTTGAATGTTTGGGGCCCCCATTTTATAGCCGACATGCCCAAACGAACAAATAATGCTGCTGGCCCGACAAGAAAGTCCGCTCGTCTTGAGCGAAGACGACACGAGAAACACATCAATACCTGTCCATGCTTGCAAAAGGGTATAGTCGGCCTTACTGCGAACGCGGAAAAGAAATTTCCAGCAAGCCGTTGCAGGTGTGTGTTTGGCGGAATTGCCGTGTGCTTGTGTGGAGTTGGCGTATGAGTACTTGGAAGTGTTGGCTAACAAATGTCTTCGATTTCCAAGCCCAGGACTGGATTTGCAGAAAGAAATTGCAGAAATTCGGGCATACCCTATTGTATTATTGGACAATAAACACAAATATCTAGAACGTTTTAATATTCGCCGTGTGAACATTCGACGTAGGGAACTACCCGTATTGGCTCCCGAACAGTCAAACACGATAGTAATTAAATCGAAAAACCTCCACTATTCGGTTGATGGATCATCCAAGTCGACTGCGGAGGAGATTTATTTTCCGCCTCCAATAACGCCTGAATATGAATCGCCGCGAGAACCATGTGATATGGACATTGATAGCAGTCCCAGCGTGATTACGAGTGATGCGAGAAATGGAGAGGATACGTGTGCTACGATTATGTCTTCCGACAGTGATACTGACAGTCTGGGTACAGTACACAGGAGAACTATTTCAACGATCCATTACGCCGTTAAACAGCAGCAAGGGTGGCAGACAGAAGGATTGAGAAGTAAACATACAAACAAGACCACTCATCCGGTGATCGAAGATGCATTTTTTATTCCTCGGCATCCTAATTCTGATGTACATATACCAACCAATACGCGTTACACGATCTTCGCTCTTGCTGACGGTCATGGTGGTGCCCAAGCAGCCAAGTATTTCTGTCGGCACGTGCCTCGTAAAATACGCGAAATAGTGAATTCCAAAGACAAGTGGGATTTTAGAGATGTTAATGACCAAAGGATATTCAGAGAGAAGATAAAAGCCATTCACAAAGCTTTGGATCAGAGATTTCTTACTCTACAGAAACGGAAGTTTGTTGACTGGCAGCGCAGGGGGTGTCCTGAACCCATTCCAGAAGATCAAGGCTCAACGTTGAATCTCGTAATATTGTATAACGGTGTGGCTGTCATCTCTAATCTCGGTGATTCGAAGACTATTATATGCAGAACCGCTCAACAGCGACGTAATAGTAAAATAAAGTTACGACTAAATTTGACTTTTCAAACCGTTGATCATTCCCCTGGTCATCCTGATAAGGCTTATCATATACATAATAATGGAGGAGTATTTCGTCGTGTTGAAGATGAGAAGATAATTAAACCAAAAATTCAACCACCACCAACGCCATCATCTTTTTCTTCCGGATGTATGCAGACATCTTATAGTAAATTCTATTCTAGTCTATTAAAGGCGCGTGTATGTAGACCAGAAGGATTCCAAAATTGCTACGGACTAGTAAATAACGCTTCAGTTAATATTGGCGATGCTATGGGAGATTTATACTTTAAGCTTGACCCGCCATTGTTTCAATGTGACCCGGATGTCGATTTTGTAGAGTTAGAGACAGGCGTTGAGTATGTGGGTATTCTTGCCCCCGACGGATTATGGGATCATATGACTGTGAGAATGCCAGAATTTGTAAGGAAAACGGCAAAGTACTTGGAAGAGAGGAGGATGTGGGATGAATTTGAATACGCAAGAAAAGCAATAGAATTGGATAATAGTAGTAAGTTCAATAAAAGAAATAAATGCAATGGTCATAATAAAAAGGACAAAAATAATAACAAGATAGTAGTTGATGATGATCATCAGGACATGGATGAGAGAAGTAAAGACAGCATTCCGGTTTGTCGGATGAATAAAACAAAGACAATTGCCAACGGTACTAATTCAGTTACTCCTGTAACTTCATCAAGAATTCTGTCGACAACCAGTCTCAAGGAACTCGCCAAGGTGCTATGTGATAGGGAAGGAGATGCATTAGGCATATTCGAAAGAGATCAAGGGCGCTATGATGATTGTACTGTAATTGCATTTACCGTCAAATTTGAAGAAGATTGATACATGAGGTTCTGCAATGCGTTAGTATTGTGCATTAAAGGGAAGGTATTACAATCAAAATCTCGCTTTGTAAATAAAGTGACAAATATATTTTTACTCTTATTCACGCCTGCATTTTGTATATATACACATTCCAATCCCCCCTCCACTCCAATTACATATAATATCACTGTAGTTGTAGTTATAATATTACGTCATTAGCTTTATCCCCCTCGTCATCAGCTAAGAACTCTTCCATCTCTAATGTTCCTTCTTATTCTATCAGCTAATTCTCTGTTCTTCTTAGTTATAAAACAAGTAACCTTTCCTACTCTTCCTGCCCTTGCTGTTCTCCCAACACGGTGTAAATAATCAACCACCGTCGTTGGGAAATCCATCAATATAACATGATCCACAAAAGTAGTATCAACACCTCTAGAAGCAATATCCGTACACACCAACACTTTTGCCTCCTCGGGATTGTCTTTGAATATATTTAGCTTTGCTTCTCTATTCGCTACGTCCCCATACAGTCCAATCACGGGTATTCTCTTCGATGTTAAAAATGCTTCCACCCCTCTTGCACTCGGACGAGTATTGCAGAAGATCATAGTACGATCTGTGTGATTTTGTTTTAGAACTTCAAGAATGGCATTATGTTTATTGAAATTATAAGACTTCATGTCTATGAATGTTTGCGTCAGTGTAGGAAGAACTTTATGCAAGGAAGGCGTCGTTATCTTAGTCAACCAAGGGAACTCGGTGTTGAGCATTTCATTAACGGTCTTAGGAAGTGTTGCCGATACGATTATAACCTGATACGACCTATTCTGACTCGCCGCTGATTCCTTTAGATTTTTTACTATTTCCCTAACCTCATCCTCAAATCCATGTCCAAACATGGTGTCAGCTTCATCGATGACCAAATACTTTGCGTCAACAAATGATAGAACGTTCTCCTTGGAGTATTGAAGGATGCCTGCGGGCGTAGCAACAACCAAGTCAACGGGCGTTTCTAGATTACGAACTACTGTCCATCGAGGCATATGAGATGTAATAGCTACGGCGCGGTATTTAGCAATATGAGAGAGTTGTTTGGCTACTGAATGTATTTGATTGACTAATTCCCGAGATGGAAGAAGCACTATTGCACGTGGAGATCTTAGGCGACGAATTGAAGATTGAGGTTCATGTTTGGATTTTATTTGTTGAGGTAAATTAACGCCTGCAAAGAATGATTCATCTGGGTAAGGAAAATCCATAATGGCGTTAGTTGTTGGAGATGAAGTAAGGGATCGGGTCTGAAGAATGGGTGAAGATGATTGGATGGACAAATTAGGTAATTCAGCGTCCGGGAATGATGTATTCATCGTTGATTGACCGACTACAGTTTCATCGACCGTAGGCTTATTATCTGTAATTGCCCTAGCATCGGCTTCCTCTTGCTTTAATTTGTTTATTATTGGTATTAAATACGTTAGTGTCTTGCCAGAGCCAGTTTCAGCAGCACACATAATATGCTTTTTGTGATGCTTTAATATCTCGGGTATTGCGAGAGCCTGAATTTCAGTTGGTCTAAGTTTAGTCACGTGAGCTAGCGGACCAGACCGTATGGCCTCGTATATTTCCTCTCGCAAACCCATACTTTCAAAAGTGACACCTTCTGCTTTTTCCATTAACTTCTGTACACTAAATGGTTTGACTTTAGCTAATAATTTCTTCTCTTCCACAACAGTATCCTTATCAGTCTCTTTCGCGCTAGTAGCATTCTTCTTCAACTGATCACGCATTTTCTTGACCAACTTTTCGGGTTTTGGTCTTTTTGCCGAACTCACACCGCTCTTCGTCAAACTCACATCACTCTTTATCGGCAATAATTTAAATCGTGCTGGAATATGACCACGGGTCTTGTCTGATACTGGACTCGGTTTCTTACGCGACGATCGTAGCTTCGCCTTGGTTCTTAATACGCCTGCGCGTGGTGGCGACAGTTTTGAGCGCAGGCTCAGTCCTCTCGTTTGTATGCTGACATGAATTCCTGATATCTTACAAACATGTTTGTGCGCGAATAGTTCATAGCATGCTGGTATCCGTGTTAAACGTAACATGTAAAAATTTTTGTAGATGTCGACAAAAAAAGAAATATAAGATATGCCAATGGCAAAACTTTACCTGTGACACAAGATCGTTGCGATAGCAATAAGTAAAAGTATTTTTAGATAGGGTTCTGCGTTCGTTAAAATCAGAAATTTCGATTGTTTAAAATCGATAGTTTAATTAAAGTTGGTACGTTATAAGATTCATATTGTGCATTCTCTAATCACCTAATAAAAATGTAATAATCCCTCAAAACCGATCTATATCGGTTTTTCAAATTTACGCGGAAAACCAATAAAAAGCCGAAAATATTATTTTCGGTTTCTCGAGCTTTGGTCGAAATAGCTAGAAAACTCGATATGAATTATTAATTATTACTATTAAAAAATATCGCAATAAAGTCACCGCTTAGCAATGACATGAAGTAATGACAAGAAAATCGTTCTTCTTTACCAAATTCATTTTAACAAGGATCAAGGATCTCTTTGTTATACATTGTATAAACGTAGAATTGTACGTACTGTGACCACCGCTCCCATTATTATAGGTCAATACGCATACATAGATTGATACTAGCAGAAACTATAAAATGTAACTATTGTCTATTGAAATTAAATGTCTCTTACATATTTTACAATGGATTTCTTAATACCCATATAATATTTAAGGGTGTCTGTGCTATATTACAAAACACCCGAATTATTGTAAATTGTCAGCATTTGTGAAGTCATTCCCGAATGAACGTGCAACGACTTCAAACCATCGCTCAAAATTATTTTTTGACACGGTAATATTACAATCGTACGTAAGCTCCCCAATATTCTCCTTTTCTACTCCCACTATTGGATCTATCTTTTCGTCTAAAGAATCCGTGACTACAACCGTTTCAACAGTCTGTTCCACCATGACCATCTCAATTGCGTTTCTTTTGCTCGTTCCTTCTGATTCATCATTTGTATCATCTTCACTATCCATCATTTCAGCAATAAAACCAAAGTCCTTACGCACTTTATTCCGCCATTGCTGCAATTCCATCGGAGTACGGTAGTAAAGGATATCTTGATAGCTGTGAAACATGTTATACGGAATAAATTTAAAGCTTCCGTCGGGGACGTCGAATTTCTGGTTGGAGTTTAGGAGAACCTTGAACACAATTAATTCAGCATATCTGCCGACAACACCTGGGATGGGAACTTTGAATACCTCGGGATAGAGGACGGCATCATTGTATATCTGTTTATCTTCGATTAAATGCATTAACTGAAGCATAGCTTGAGCAAAATTGTATCGAAAATTATCGAATTCGCTGAAAGTTGACGAAGTAGTGGAGACAGAATTTCGCCTCACACTTGTGACATCGGTATTATTCTGTGTACTTGGAAGATCGGTATTGCTTGGCACACTTGCGAGATCGGTATTGCTCGACATACTTCTGATGGCGTTAATGCTCAGCATACTTCTGATGTCGTTACCGTTCGGCTCTCCAAAGAACGTTTTACCTATCTGGGCGTAGACATTCACCATTGACGTACCGCCTTTGCGTCGAACATGCTCACGTTCGACCAAGGTCAATGACACATACCCTGAAAGACGAGCAACCGGTATTTGATGACGATTATTTGCGGATACAAGAACTTTCATTCCAGACATTTGTGGTTGACATATGAATAGTCCGGCATATACTGCGTCTGGTTCCAAACTAGGTACTGAATTGTGATTGTTATATGTGCTCATTTCGTCAAAATAAGTCCGCATGATGTCAGGAGAAACATTCAGGCTTGAGGCCATGCTTGGTGAAATCAAGCTCGAGTCAACAAATTGATGTCCTAATCTCAGGAATCTCTCCTCTTCCGTTCGATCATTTAATTTCTTTACCAAGAACAGCATCTGACCTTTTCCGAGAACTTCATGCCACCCGGGAGTAGTTATGTGTTTTTTCCTGGACAAGGCTTTGAGTGTGGTGGTTTGACCTGTGTTGAGAATGTTGTCGAAAAGACACCCGATATCGTCGAAATTGAGGTTGAGAGATTCTGCCAGACTACGAGCATTGGAGACAAACATCTCGCGAAACTGGAGTGAATAGGGAACTTTGCGGGAGGCAATCTTGTCTGCTACTTGCAAGTGGCTATCGATGTAGGGAAGCCTATGAAGTGGGAAGATAGGTTAATTTGCAAATGAGGAGGGATGACGATTGTATTGGACAGAAAAAAAGAAAGAAGAAAACTGAAACACAGGAAACATGTAAAGTTACCATTCTTCGATGCTTGACCAATCGTGGGTTAGCCGATATAGCCATTGGAATACAGGATGATTTACAGTGAATTCGTCTTGCAAGTTCTGTTAATCAAGAATCGTATTATGATTATAGTCACACAAACATTGGCAATTGACGTCTCGGTTCAGAACCAGACACTCAGTCCAGAACTGAGACGGGGCTCCAACTGAGGTACAATGTAATTACCTTCTGACGATACTCGGTGGTGATCTTTTTCATTGGAATAGTACCACTATTCGTAACAAGAATCTGCCCTTGACTATTGTAGATTGCCGATCCGAGAACAACATTTTGCGCGTGTCTTTTTGTCCTTAATTCTGCTTTTCTAGTGAATAACATAAACACAACCAATGTTCCACAAGCCAGTAATGATCCGGCGACGTTCACTACATAACGAATGACAGAAACACATTAGCCATTGGAAATCCGAGCAATGTTCGTATATCACAATACAAACTCACATCCGATAATTAGTTTTTCTGAAGTCGCGGGCACTGTCTGGATTTCTCCAGGGACAGCATAATAATGCGTGCCAGCATAGGCAGTGAAATGCATGCCGGTAACAGCAGTCGCCATGACCATTGATGCTCCAAGTCTCTAAGATGAGAGAGAGAGAGAGAGAGAGAACCATCATAAGTTTTTTTGTATGCGAACTCTTTTGGGACTAGCATCCAACGGGTTGTGACGGAGTTCATACCTTGTACCATTGGTTCCTCCACACAGCGCGTAAAGCAAAAAAGATGTAAAGAGCAGCATTGGCTGCCACTAAAGCTATGAGCACGGCCGATATGGTTAAACCAACGTCATAACGAGCTTTGTAAAATTGTATTGCAAATTGGCCACAATAATGCATGAACGCTGGGGTATGCGTGGAAATAATGCATTAGTATTTTGCAACTGGCAAGAAAATTGAACGTGATGTAAAAATTTCCAATGTACTTACCGACTGTTAATCCCGCTGTCGTTCCCCCACCCAAAAGACGCAATATATCTACTTGTGGTTGTGCCCCGATAAAATAAAACGCCAGAGTAAGCACTAAAATCGGCACTACTAACGATAGTAGTGTAAACCTATTAAATAGACAAAATAGTATTAAAAAAAAAAGAAAAAGAAAAGAAAAACTTTAGAAAAATATAATAATAAATTTCTTTATACCATATATCATATCTTAGTTGTTCTTCGGGTCTTCCGTCGCCCAGTACCAAGGCCTTTTGTCCAACAAAATGCATCGTCCATATTCCAACAAAACCCATACTAAAAGCAGCACCAATGAGCCTAAGCCAATTAATAACTCCCAGATGTGATGTTCTTCGTCCGAGCAATTCCAGCGTAGTTTGTGCTCCGAGCACGGATATGAAATAGGAGAGAATAACTATCTCTGGTTTAGTTCGTTGCTTTACTTCTTGTAGTCCCCCGTCCATGTTTATATTTCATATACTTTATTAATTTAAACTTTGATTCTCCAGTATATGTATCCGCACTAATATCGAGTACGACAAAAAGAATGAAGTATTATTAAATATATGAACTAATCAGTATATGGATAAGGCGAATAGCAATTATGGATATGGGTTATAGAGTTTCCTCGAAAACAACCGAAGGGCAGCGATATATATATGTATGCGTATGTGTATGTTGTGTGCACTCAGTGATGACACTCTCTGTTCGAATCTGTTGTACTTTTAAACAAATATTGTCATATGGAGGGTTTGTTTTTTTGATGGATAGATATAAATATTTAGAGTTGAGTTGGTACCGCAGAGAGTATAAACCACACAATTCAGATATAACTGGTCTTAGTTACAATTTGTGCTTTTATTTATAGCAAATATTGGGCTGATAATTGCAAAAAGGCAATAATGGAATATTTTCGGTCCAATCTTCTCCAAAAACAGACCCGAAACTTTAAAGTGTCAACGATATTAATTAAAAATCAGTAAGTGCAACACCGAAAACCGTTTGTAGTGTTCATATACCCGAATAAGGGTCTCAGCAATAATGCATGTGTTAAATATATTATAAGCCAAGGGACTTGGGCTTGTGTCTTTGTTTACGGCAAAAAACAGCAATTTAAGAGTATTTCAAACGGGCAAGTTGTGGACAAACATAGTAATGTATAAAATTAATATATAATTACATACATTATTCTTTAACAAATATGTCATATACGCTAGTCTTCAACGTATAACAATGTAATACGTATATGCGCTAACCAGTATTGGCCAACGCAATATACGCTCTACAAGTATGTCATTGCTAAAGATACTTATTTCTTGGATTAAATAAACACTCACTGTTGTGTATGCTTACTCGATGTGTGCCCTAACAGAAATTGTCCAACACATGTTACACTTGCTGCCGTTTGTTAACTTTGTGACAAAATTTTCGATTTTCACAGACATCACATCAATGAATAGAGTTTGATCGAATTGTATTGTTATGTTCTTGTTCTGAATTTTGTTTCATTACGGTTCGACACAGACAAAGCGTAATAAACCGACATATCTTATGTGAGAGAATTGTTCTCTAGACAGGCAAAGCGTAAGTAAATGCCATTATGTGAATGCCATTATGTTAATGCAAGATATTGTTTCAACAAACAAATACAAATAATTTGAAGGCGCAACAATTATGTAAGATATTATATTTAGGACGTATCGTTTAACGTGAAAAAAGTACGTGGAACACTACACAAACAAATTAAATAAAAGACCCCTTTTTTTGTGCGTCGATGGTATTGCTTTCGATAACATAACACTATTGTTACACATTTCTATTCGAAAGCTCGGCACAAGGAGCTTACATAATATACGATAACAATTCGTTCCGCCTAATACTAACCTTTTAACGTTAACCGTATGGATCTATTATTAGTGACTTCTTATTTCACCATTGGTCATTGCATTAAGCTCCCCAAGGCTTTGCTCCATCAGGTAGATTGCCTCATCTTAAAATGTTTGTTATTTGCATATCATGCATGAATTTAAGGGTTACAAGGATACTTTGAAAAATCGACCTTCGCTCCGGGACAACTTTTTACCTTACAGCTATGCAGGGTTGTGTTGGGTTTTAAAAGCAAGTATCAGCCGAAATCAACTTTTCCACGCCATCAAAACTGTCTCTTCCAACGGTAGTGAGTGGCAAAGAAAGCGATCCTTTTTAATAGCGTAAGTTCTGTCGGATCTTCCACGAAAAAAGGAAGATTCGATATTGCTAATAATGTTCAAAAGCATGGTATCACAAGCATATTTGTTATGTCATAATATTTCACGTTACTACATAGAATGCTGTATGGGTACTCGGGTTCTGGGCATACATCCATTGCACAAATATTTTTTTTCGTTTTTTATCGGATTTACTTCCGAATAGGTTCATGGTATCTTGGATATTAAAAAATCTTTACACTAGAATGATCATTAACTGGATTAAATATTGTATGTTAGATCTAACAGACCTAATGATGCTTCTGCACAGAAAACAATACTACCTGCACATAATAACAATGATTTTGCCTGCTGTAAACCGATTACAATGCATTCTTTGTGTGTATTTCTGATTTTAGTAGCCGCATCATAATGCTTGACGTAACATAATTGTTTAATTATAATTACAATAGTGTATTGCAATCTTCGTTTTGTTGAGCTCGGTTACGAGCAATCCAAGTAGAGGAGACAAATAAATGTGGTTGTCAAAAGAAACGTAAGTGATAAAATCATAAATTTAAGGTCTAAACGGGTGCATGCTAACTTTTTTTCAGGTCCGAAACGTATAGCAATTCATATAACAAACAATTATTTCTCACAATATTTTTTTGAATGGTTTATTTTATGAAGCATTACCTGAATTAAGCTAATGCAAGGATCTAAAATTTAAAGCATAACCGCCGAAGTCTTTTCTCTTACAACATTCAATATCTTGTTTAGCGGCGATTTGTTATTCTTGTCTTCTAAGAGCTTTATGTTTGAATTCGTGCTTATTCAGCAACAATCAAGTCTTCTTTATTTGATATGTTTTCGGTATCGTTATGCACAAAATACCGGAGTTGCTTTGTGAAGCAAATAAAAATTTCGTATGATAAAGGGTAGAACAAGACTTACTTATCTGTATTCATTAAAGAAATATCAATAACGTATTTAGTATACAAATTCCCGAATTCTCATTAGAAGATATAATAACTGGAACTACCAAAGTTACAACACAAAATATAGTCAATTTATTTATTCTGGCAATAAAAGTTAGATTCTATGTTGCTATTGATACTATAAAGCATATTGATGAAATAAAGCGTATAAATAAAATCGATGATCAAACAGCAAGAACATTGATATACAATGAGATTAGCTTCTCCCAGTCACTAATGTAAACTTAGACAGAAAACATTCTGAGCAAAAAAAGTTTTACATTGCGCTACAGGAATAAGAGTAGAGTAATAACGTGCGGTGCAAGTGCAATTTCGAGGTCTAACTGTTAACCAGATTCAAGATATTATAAACTCTTTCCCTAATGCTAATGTAGACGATTTTTTCATTAAATATGATCATTACAAATTGTACCGCACACGTGACTGGACCTTTTAGCTCATCAGTAAGTATACCTACTGAATCATATCATACCTCTAATTCGAAAGAGGGCAAATTCATTAGATGAAACCTTAGATGTTGATTTAGATGAATAAAAAGTTCTCTGATGATGAAGGGGGGCCGCAGAATCGGCTTTGCGAAATAAATATGATTTCAGCGGAGCATTTTTCACGACGACGACGACGACGATGATGATGAGAGTTATTCCGATTTTAAGTCGTGGGAAGAGAACGAATAAAAATTCAAAACATTTAATTGAAATATATTATTGTTCCTCATATAACCTAATTATTTTTTAGTTTAGATATAAGATGTACGTGTGTTAATTAATTATTATGATTTCAAAAATTAACGAATTATATGAAAAACGCACTATGTGCAAAAAATTTTTTATTATGTCTATTAATATATCATCTCTTAAATCTCTTGCATTAAATATCCTTCCCAGGAAAGATTGCAAAAGGTGTCAATGTTTCTGAACTAAACCCATGCTTGTTCTGCAACCAAGAACTTTTTCTGTATGAAATAAAAATTCCGATTACCATACTTGTCTGTAGTCATATATATCATCGTAATTGTAGCGAGAATTCTATCAAAAAACATTTAATATGCCCAAGACTTGTAAGATGGAGGTAAAACCTACGGTTGAGGACACACCTGGAAGTCTAAATACCACTGACCCAATGAATATATCTCTTGCATTATTTAATGATGCGTTCCAGAAAAAGCGTGCTGGTGAATCTACCAGTAAACTATCCAGTAAGAAAGCAAAGAAGCAGGTTTCAAAATAAAATTATCCTAAATTATAAAAATTAATTAAAAAATTGAGAACCGATATTCGAATAAACTTTGTCAACAAAACTAATATCCGAATCGAATGAAAAATCTATTGATTTTCTAGTTTTGTATCAAAATATAATTAATGACGAAAAATCAGTAAAAAAAATAATACAAGAAGTTATTCGTCAACATTTCTATTTTGGGAAGCACTCAAGGAACGATTCAATCAATACAAAAAAACGATACTAAATGTACGAATCAAGGGTTAGCTAATAATAAAATTAGAATTCAACTTCCATCAGTTAACCAAAGAAAAACAAAAAAAGATTTATGATTTATTTTTGCGAGATTGGGATCTATAATATCAATCGAATTCAAAGTTTTACAGCCAAGATAATATTAATTATGTTTTAATCAAACTTTTACTTTCGTAAACCTACAGCATATTTGGGGCGTGCTGCAACAAAACCAGACAAAGTGAACATTTGACGTCACTTAGTAATTTTTTTTTAATTGCTTATTTTCAATCAAGGTCACTTTTTAACTTCAATTCGAGCCTTCTGTTGAGAATTTAATTTTTCTAATTGAGATTTTAATCGAGCAACTTCTTCCTTATAACATTCTATTTCATTAACCAGTTCTTGAGGAGTCCGTTTTTTTAATCTTTCTACTGGAAAATGTATCCAGCTCGCAGGGCTTTGTGGGTTACCACCTAGTCACATTAGGATAAAGAAGGAAGAGAGTTTGGCAAGTGGGATTTTTTGTTATGTTTACCATTAATTTCTAATTCTTTATCCTATCCAAGAGTTCTTGCTTCTGTTTCTTGCTCCACTCCTCTGACTTCTCTTGAAACTTGGCTACTTCTTCTCTTTCGATTTCTAATGCCTCTTTAGTAGTTGATAGCTCATTTTCTAGCTCCCTAGTTTTCTTTTCCAAACGAGAACTAAAAGTCTGAGAAATTATTTCTTCCGTAGAGAGTTGTTTGGTGCTTTTGTCTTTTTCCAAATGGCAAAAACATCTTCTTCGGTTTCTCTTTAACTTTCCACACTTTTCACATCAAGGAAGAGCATTATTTTCAAAATCTCTTTTACAATCACCACAAATAAAAGCTATATCAGCATAGTCATCAGTTTTCTTGTCAATCGCGACCATTTGATGAGTAGTGAGGGCAGTATTGAAGTTAAGGTTAGTCTGGTCTTCGAAATCTAAAAAACAATAGTTACATTGCCATTCATCTCCTTTTGCTACCTCTAATACTCTATATTCTAATGCTAATCTCATATGACTACTTACCCTTTTGAATGATAAAAACTTGAAATTTCTGTTGAACTTTTTCTTTCATCCTATCTATCTTGTTTGCTACTTGTTTAAACTTACATTTCCTATTCCCTCAACTTTTACTTTCTTTAAGTTTGTCCACCTAATTGCTAGAGTGTTTTGAAGTTTCTCTATTTGTTTCAGAAGTCTAGTCATTTCTTTATCATGACTATTGTTTACCTCATCTAATTGTCTTATTCTCCATTCCCTGGATTTGTCTAGGGCTTTTTCAGCTTCTTCTCACTCCATTTGTACCTCATCATCTAACTCTTCTACTTGAATTTCCAGTTCTTTTACCTTTTGCTCTAATTCTTGATTAACTTTTTCTAAATTAACAACATTTCCTTTTAAAGAATTTCTCTCTTTCTCTAAACTAATTACTAATGATCGTAATCACCCAACTTCTTTCTATTTCTCAAATTTATTATAACCAATATAATATTGAGAAAAAAGATATTGTACAGCAAGATAGTGTTGCCAAACTTCCTTAATGGGGAATTTTTCACAAAACTCAGGTCAACTACAAGAGTGAACTAAAATTTTATCAAACACTGATCTAAAAATTTCTTCATTAGGAGGTTTTGGAATGAAATTTACTTCACCTAATTCTCTAATTAGTTCCTGTTTAAAAATTGTTATTTTCCATTGATACCATAGGCTTGCTTTTAATATAAGTATATAAATCATTTTAGTATTTTACTTTACTAGTACTAGCAACATCAAAAGATTAAACTTATTAAACTTAATTACTACTACTTCTAAAAATTGGAGAGCTTTTTCATATTCATTAATAATTAATATATATATATATTTTATATATGTATTAGTATTACGCTCAGTTTGTCTGATTTTGTAAAATTTTGATAATATTGTGTATTTATTATGTACTCCACATAGGGGTATCCATATATATAAAATTGAAATATATGAAACTTATCTATATTAGATCCACTATGGAGCCCAAAAACTACAGCACTTTACACTCTCTTTTAAAGCAAGAACAAGGTGAAAAAATCGCTCCTTATATTTTCAAACTAAAAAGCATGCAGACTATCAAGGACTATCTAGACCAAGAAAAGATAACTTATGAAATTTACCAAGAGGAAAGGTCAGAAAAAGCTCTTAAGCGGACGTTGGCAGAACCATTTCAAGAACCAAGAAAAAAAAGAAAAATAGAAGAATAAGAGGGAGGGTAATCCCTTTATGCCTGTAAAATAAAAGATGTAGCCTTGATTGTTCTATACTGCCTGTAGCAAACACAAGATATTTCAACCATTTGCGCTGAGCAACTGACACACTCAACACTATCTCATTCTGTATCAACGAGTGCTCCTTGGTTTTGGTGCTACCGCTCCACTAAAACTCAGAAGCAATTTATTTACACGTATGCTCTTAACTCCACGACATTTGCTACTAACCGTATTTTTCTCAGAAAATTTTATTCATTTCCACTTCAAATACAAACCATTAGGCTGCATATTCAAGATCACTATTGAACATCATATCCCAGTCGGTACCAGTAATCGATACATGTTCGTCGTTTTCTTCAAATCTAATTACACCCTTAAATTCATTTGGCTTGATGACCACATTCGCTGGAGTCACATTGTCGTAATTCATTTTCCCGAAATATTCACTTAGCGTAACCTTAGGGCACAAATTAACCATTAACACGTGACGACAGCCATGGAGCTTGCCGTAGTCATGAGCCCTTTTGTGGTGTTCGTCGAAATTTGGTCGACTCGCTGCAACGACGAGCTCAAAACCGTATGACGGTAGGTCGGAACCGTTGCGGATGAGGATATCTAATCGTTGAGAACGGCGGCCGTCTTCATTGCGCTCTTTAACCTCCACTATAGTTTTATATCGCAGGACTGGATACGCCAACGGGAGCAAGTGCCTGAAAACAGTTGCAAATTCTGATTGAAACGAATACTCCGACGGGTTTCCATCGGCGTTCAAGAATTGCGGTGCGTAGAGTCTCCGAATGGACAAGCACTGTATAGGAAAAAAGAACTAATCAGAAGATCGACCATCAATTTTTGCATAATACCACCTAACAACCACTGAAGGTCAATCTCTTTCTCATCCGGTGGAGCCCGAGATAGGTTGAATCCACGCATACTTATGTGGGAGAGCATTAGACCCCGAAGGATAGGCGCGGCGCATTCAATTATCGCGCTTCCGTCACTTCGTTCCTCCTTAACATACACCATTCCTTCCGCCAAAAGATATTTCGTAGCCTCCTTTGTCTTTTCAAAAAAAATTATAATAAATAAATGACAGATTGAAGATCAAAAATGAAACAAAAGAAGTTAACTTACGGGATCAACTTCACAAATGCCATGACCGAGAACGTCCATAAGAATAGATTTGCTCGCCGGAGAGAGATTGCCGAGAGATCGCACGATGGAGTCATAATGTTGCTTTTGTACTATGAATCGCCGTAGTTCAACAGGTGTATACTTCTTCCAGTCATCAAGGGTTATAATGGGGGAGCTTCCAAAATCGTATCCTTGCTGAACATAAGCACCACAAGCGCCGACAAGACCTTTATGGCCAAGAGTGAGTTCGAAAACATCTGTTGCAATATTGACCGAATCGAACATAGAACTTCTATCCTTAGCGAACTGGCCAAAAAGTTCTTCGACTTCGGCTTTGGTAAACCGGCCGGCCATCCAGGTTGCCTCTTGTGAAAACGGCGAAATTTGGGACGAAGCACCAGGCTTATTGTGAGCGACCAAGAGCTCTCTAATACTTTCGGTGCCGACAAGCGCAAGACCATGTAGAGAATAATCGTGAGCGTTCTTTAGAGACCGTAGCACGCTGATAAATTCATCGGTAACCTCATTTGTGACATCAGTTTCACCACCCACGCTAGTTAGGCGCGAAGCTTCATCGATGAGGAGAATAACCGGCTTTGACGAAGGATGATTGCGTTTCGAGAAGAAATTCAAGAAAGCTCCGGAACTCGTTGCGGGAAGGTTGACGTCGATTCGGCTCTTGTCTAAAGAATAAAGTCTTTCGCACACAGCTTTCCAGAATACTTTTGACCCTTGATCGGCCCGAACTGTGGCATCAAAGGTTACGACATGCATGTCGAAGTCATCGGGGTTACAACCGGAAAATTCTGTGAACTTTTCTGGGTGTTCGTAGAACCATCGCAACAATGCATGACAAATGGTAGTCTTGCCACTCTGGCGATGTCCAAAAAGGAGGCAGAACTGACGGTTAAGGAGGTATGATGCAAAATTTTCGAGAATCTTGGGTTCAATATAGAAGTTGTTGACCGGATCAGCCTCAGTGGCGGCGGCAAACTTGCGACGTTCTGTGAGAAATCAGTGGGTCAGAAAATGCCATATCTGCCGGAGATTATACTTATTAAATAAAAATAAAAGTTGGACTTGCTGTGTGCAATGGCCTGCAAATCCAGCTTCCTCTTCAATGCAGACGGCAAGTGGGTAACTATGAGGAACGTAGGGATAAGATTATCATTGGTATGATAGAATAAACAAGAATAAAATGGTTATAAATGATGACTGCACGGAACACATTGTCAATATGTGGACATCGGAATGCAGTGTCGGGGCGATCAATGACACGAACGCAAAAGTGTAAGAAAAAACGTCGAAGGAATGACAAAAAACAAAAATGAATGATACAATAGATGACTAAGGGAATTAGAGCGACAGCAGAAAATGAAGGAACGAACGGGTCAATAAATGGCGAAGAAATTTAGAGCGAGCGACAAAAACAAAATAGCAGGAGCATGTAGAAGAGGCTACGAGGCAAGAGCGTGTGAAAGTGGTAGCTATACGAACGTAAAACATACTGAACCCCAGCGCGAGCATGCCGAGACGCCCAAGATGAGACAATGCGTGATGAGAATGGCACAGTTTTACTTACCATCCTGAGCACTTAGGAACAGCCTAATATTTGCAGCGAAAGATTGATGAATTGGAGTTTGTTCTACTCCAAAATACTTTAGGATTGATTCAAGTTGGCTCTCCGAATCGAACTCAATGGCATTGCCAGCGTCCTTGTTATCGAACTTTGACGCTTTGAGAATGAGATCGGCGGCGGGATAGAGATCTAACTTCGGTGACATTGCTTTCTTGATCGCATTCTTGAGGTCGCTTACGTCTTCGACCTCAAGCAGAGGAATTTTGTCCCAGGCGCTTTCGGGCTTTACAAGTTTGTACCAGGCCTTTGGGGGTCTCATGTCAGGTGCGTTTATATCCGTGCTGGTATTCGTGCTGGTGTTTTCAATTGCGGTCGATTGCCAGTTGAGAAACTGATGGCCGTCAGTCGTGCTAACGTTTTCAGTCGCAGTCCGTCGCTGGTTGAGAAACTGATGGACGGCACTTTTAACTTTATAACGAATTTCTCCTTCTTTGACGGTTCCCGTGTTTCTGGCTTTATTATAATGACAACTCGATAAGTTAAACGTAGAAATATCAACAGCAAATTAGTGACAAGTATTCGAGCGTGAATATCCATTCATTCATTGAAAAATAGCCGTTACGTCTGATGTATAGATCTCGGTCTTATTTGTAGCCGGATAGATAACTAAGCAGAGTGAACGTACAGAAAAAATTTTACCCAAAGACATCAGGTTATTAGGGTGCACAGTACTTAATACACACGTTTGATCTGGCATAAAGTCCAATCTGTCGAACATAAGAAATCATGGAGTGGGAGGTGTTGTGCGTTGATGCTCGAGATCGGTAGACACGAGTACTGTTGTTTTGCAGTAAAGCAAAAAAATTTTTAGGTACGTCATCACGATTGCTAAGCCACATACATTTAAAGTTCACTTTGTCTGGTTTTGTTGCAGCACGCCCCATTTTGATTACGTGACATTGTCCTATCGTATCACAGTCTATGCAGGAAATTTTAATCGCATTGTTACTGGTCTTTGAACAGCAGAAATAGGGAGAGACAAAGTTTCCAATCGTTTTCTTGAGGCTCTAACAAACGTTCTTTAACTATTTCACTAGCTAAAGCAGTCACTCCACTAACTACCAAAATAGAGCCGGAAGTTTTAGCGAAAATTTTGTTATCTGACATAAAATTTTACACAAAACGCCACGTATCTATAAAAACAAATTATATAAAAAAAGACAAATTTGGTGTTTTGTGTAAAATTTATATACTGTATAAACTTGCGTTATTTTATTTTTTTATTATTATATATATAAACGCAGGTATTAGTATATAAAATTTGGTATTTTATTCTGTATAAGGACCAACAAATTATTAATAAAAAATAATAAATCCATTACTCCTATGGTTTTTTGAAGCCGCGTAACGGCTTTGCTCCGCGGATTTTTTTCGTGTTTTTCTTATAGCAGGTACATGCGAGACAAGGAAAGTATTAATATTAAATATATTTACGTAACTTACATCATATTATAACGAATCGATATTGTGAATCAAATCCGTGAATCAGAAGTTTTTCTAAAAGCGAAGCAAAATAAAACAGGTAACAATTTGATGACCTTGAATATTGGGTATTATGTACTTCATATAACATAGTTTACAGTAAACTTTATATTAGTATGGTCATAAAGCATACATCTTTAATAAAAAATTTTTTAACAGCCGTATGTTTGCATGTCAATAGTAATAGCGGTTGTGGATAATGAATATTGGAATACACCTCAAAATCGGCAATATGCTTTTGGTTTGACATTACACAATGGCCTTTTGCATTGGGACGAATGTTAACAAAAGTAAAAATGCTTTTTTATTTTCCTAACAATCTCAACAGCAGAATTCAACGTGTTCTCTTTCCTCTTTATCTCATCAATTAACAATTAAACCTTCTTTGTTATTTTTACAATTAAACCATTTTTTTTCATAATTACTTATTAATATATCATTAATTTTTTTATGAAAAAGCATACGACTTTGAAGGGACATAACACTTTAACTGAATGTTTTTTTCAGAACAGAAAAAAGGATCTAATAAGTCAAAAGGATAATAAGTTCTGGAGTTTAAAATTTTTATACCCTGAGTGGTGGGAGTAATTATTGTATATTGGTTCAATCATAGTTTTGATTAATTTGGCTATTACTATCATTTATTGAAAATAGATATCCCGACTCTCTTTCCCCTTTTGCTCTGTAGCCAAAAAATTCTGCAGTAAAAGATAGAAACCTTCCATCAAGAGAGTCTTAAAAGGTTATCAATAGTTATCTATGTCCACTAATAAAAATAAACAAAAGGCACTAGCCTCTTCTTCCCAAAACCCAAACAAGGGCCCAACAACAAAAAAACCCTCTCCCTTTGCATTTGCAAACACTGAATGTAAACTTAAGTTTGACGCCTATGTCTCTAACAGGGAAGTCCCAAAGACTGACCTACAAAACTCTCTCTTCTTCGACCTTCGCAGCTTGCCTGTCACTGAAGAGCAGCTCTTTGAAACGCTCAAAGGCTACATCAATGGCATTGCCTTTCGCCAAGAAACTAACTTCCTTGAAGTCACCCTCAAAGAACCAACCAGGACCAAAACCCTCCTCACTGAGGGCATCACCATCGAGGACAAACTTATCATTCCTCTCCCCCCAAAGGAGGTTGCCCCCAGAACCCTACGAATCAAACTGGCCAATGTTCCTCTCCATGTCCCAAGGAAAAAGCTGGAAGCGGATATCACCAACCATTGGGCCCAGTTCACCAGTGTTAAAACCCTTGCCCCCTACACCTACAAAGGAACTGAAATCCTAACTCGCCGATGGGACCTAATCGTCCAAATTCCACCAGAAGACAATGCCTTGAAAGCCCCTGTCACATGGGAATATGAAGGCACTACAGTTCTTGCAAACTGGAGGGGCGCACCTCCATCCTGTCTCTCTTGCAAATCCGCTGGTCACTTTTCCAATATCTGCCCCACTTTCCCACCAAAAAAGACGATGGCTGAGACCCTGAAGAAATCGATCGACAGCAGCACAAACAAAACCCCCAAGTTTGTGGATCAACAAACAACTGCACCAAC